GGGAGTGCGGGGCCTGGTGAACAGAGGCGGGGAACACAGGCAGTCAGGGAGCGTGTGGTCAGAGGAAGCAGGGCCAGTGATTCGGGCTAGAGCTCCCCACGTGGGAGGGTAACTGCGTGTCGGAGGGGCACAGTGTGTGTTGAACAGACGTCCCATTTGAACCCAGAAGGAGAAGGTCGTTGTTTGGATCTTCTTGTCAGACAAGTGAGATTAAGAGACTGACCCCACATCTCAAAAAACCAACCATCCAGGGGCACAACCAAAAAAACATAGTCCGACACATCAATCATGGTCAACAGCTGAAAAAAGATGGAAGTGTGACGGGACAGAAAGGGAGCACGGGGGTTGCTGCTGCAGCCGCTGATCCCCAGCCCTCCTGACACTCACCTGGGCAGAGCGTGAGGCACTGCGTGGTCCCCATGGCTTGCGTGGCCGCCCCCTCCTCCGTGCAAAGATGAGAAGCAGAGAGGGGCCTTGGCCCAGTGTCCTTTGGAGACTTTGGTGAGAACTTTTTCCTGTGTGTCACTATCTCCACCTTTACTTGACAGACAAAACCAAACCGTAAACCACGGTTTCCTCCATTATTAGGCCCCACGTGAATCATCCCCACAAACCACATTGGAATCCAAGTGCTGGGAGGAAGGTCCCCTAGGCAGGAAAGTGCTCAATAATGAGAGAGTCTAGTGGGAAAATATCCTCAGAATCAGGGCTCCTGTTGAACAACTGCTCTAAGAAAGTCATGTGGCGAGGCAGGCAGGGGCACACTGCCCTGTATCCCTGGCATACCAGTTCGTGTGGCCCAGGGGAGGTTAGCAGACGCAGGTATGAGCCTTCAGCCCTCCTCACCTTGCCAGCCCGCTTCTTCTCTTACATGTTCCTCTCCCATCCCGCTCTGCCCCAGCAGCTGCCCTTGGCCCCACTGGATCTAGGGTGCGCACACCAACAATGAGGAGTCCCCTTCAGGACTGTCCTGGGAAACCAGAGCCAGGAGAGAGGCCCATGCAAGCTCTGGAAGCTGGCTCAGGGTCCCCGGACACAGTGTTTCAGGACCCCGGTGCCCAGAATGTGGCCTAGCCGGGCAAGCATGGTTTCCCATGAGCGCACCTCCTTGGCCCTTCAGCTTCCTCATCCTGTGGTTTAGGGCACAAAGAAGAGACAGAGCAGCTTTCTCAAAAAGGGGACCCAAGAAAGGGTCCTATTGCCTGACTCTAATGGTGATGCCATCTGTGTGGACAGGTGTGTGTGTGTGTGTGTGTTTAGTTCTCTCTCTCTGTCTCTCATGCATACATGCATAGTCTGAGACCCAGTTAAGAGCCAAGAGGCAAACAAGTCTTCATTCAACAGACGTTTGCTTAAGCAAAAACTATACCGTGGTATGATGGGTTCTTCCATCCTCACTCAAGTTTTATTTTTTATATCTCACCTCTGGTGGGAAAGGGGACTTTTTATTAGTAGTAGTAGTAGTATTAGTATTATGTGACGTCAAAGTTATGCCAAGAATGATTCATATTTGTGAGAATCTGTTTGCTGCCACATCTCCACTACGGTGACATAACCACCATCACCTTCCCAGGAAGGGGGAACAAGTTGCCCAGAACAGGACATGAATCATGAATGGGTCACTCATCAACCTGGGGCTGGAGAAAGAGAAAGGGACACCCAAGGGGAACAGGTATGAGCCCGAGGCAAACAGCGAAGAGGTTTTCAGCCTCCCTGCTCTGTGTCCTTTCAGCCAATGGTCAGGTCAGGTAGGGCCATAAGAGGAGATGCAAGAGAGGCGCAGGAGAATGAAGTCCATTATACTCACAGGCTCCAGAAAGGGGGCCATCATGTACCAAGCAGGACCACAGGGGAAGCACCAGTGTTGGTCAGGAGGCAGAAGGCAGGGGCGCAGGGAGAGCTCGGGCCATGGCCTTTGTTGGAGTCTCCTTGGGAAAGCCAGGGCGGGGTGAGCAGCTTAAGATGGGCTAGTGTAGATAATTTTGAAGGGCTTCGGGCTGTCGGGTGGTCTCCAGCTGCCTGGCATCTGGCCCTGGGATGATTAGGCAGAGGAACGTACCCTCCTGGGGTGTGCGGGCCAGATGGATGAGGTATGCCCTGGGTTGGGTAGTTTGCATATCAAAGGTATGTCTTTGCTGTCTCTAAGGATTTGCTAGCTCCAGAGAGCCAGTGGTCTCCCTCAGCCAGAAAGGGTTTTCAAAGATGTCAAAATATAATAAGCTGTGTGCGATGGTATATGCCTAGAATCCCAGCTACTCAAGAGGATAAGGCATGAGGATTGTTTGAGCCCAGGAGTTCCACGCTGTAGTGCACTATGTTTGTGCCTGTGAATAACCACTGCACTCCAGTCTGGGCAATATAGCAAGATACCATCTCTAAAAAACAAAATCAGTCCCCTTGACTCCAAGCATCTTTGTCATCAGTTCCAAAAAAAAGCGGTCTCATTCTGGAACTGGATAGCTCCTGAAGCTCCTCCAGGTGGCATGGAGCTGTGGCAGCAATAACAACCTCAGGCCAACCCTCCTGAAATTGTATCTGGAGTTGGTTCCTTCTGGTGGGTTCTTGGTCTCACTGACTTCAAGAATGAAGCCGTGGACCCTTGCGGTGAGTGTTACAGCTCATAAAGGTAGTGCACACCCACAGAGTAAGCAGCAGCAAGATTTATTATGAAGAATCAAAGAACTAAGCTTCCACACCAGGAAGGAGGACCGGACCAGGTTGCTGCTGCTGGCTCACGTGGCCAGCTTTTATTCCCTTATTTGGCCCCTCCCATGTCCTGCTGATTGGTCCATTTTACAGAGTGCTAATTGGTCCATTTTACAGAGTGCTGATTGGTCTCTTTTTACAGAATGCTGACTGGTGCATTTACAATCCTCTAGCTAGACACAGAGCACTGATTGGTGCGTTTTTACAGAGTGCTGACTGGTGCATTTACAATTCCAGCTAGACAGGAAAGTTCTCCAAGTCCCCACTGGACCCAGGAAGTCCAACTGGCTTCACCTCTCAAAATTACTGGCAGAACTCAGAACTGAACCAACACTAAACACAGGCACGTGACCTGATGCCTTCCTTCCCACTTGCTCTTCAAGTTGAGGTGCTTACGTGGAGTGAGCCTGACGTTATGGCTCCAGACAGTGTCAAAACCATGTCAGCAATTTTGTGGGGCAGAAAAAGACGATTGCTCTCACTTTGCCTGTGTCCCAGCGTGTCCTCAGAGACTGTAGCGAAGATAGCAACACCACGAGGCTCAAGGGGCACCACATCTCTTGCATCTGCCAGGCCGAGAGCAGCTGGAGGAAGCGCTTTCCCAGCCAGTCACCGGCCACCATGGAGACAGACCACAGTGACACATCT